TTTGTTTAAATCTGATGTCAACTTCCTGTTTGTTTGTACATCTGTCTGTTTCATACATAACAAATTTTCGTCGCAATTTTCTCAGCAACTACTCATCGCAGATGGTTGAAATTTTTACACAATCTTCTCTGAGGCATGCCATACTTTGGGATACATTTTTTTAAAATCTGATTTCAATTTCTTGTTTTTCTGTGCGTCTGTCCGTTTCATCGATAACAAATTTCGTCGCAGTTTTCTCAGCAAGTACTCATCAAAGATGCTTGATATTTTAACACAATCTTTTCTGAGGCATGCTATATAGTGGGATATATTTTAGCTCACACGAGCCCAGGGCTCAAGTGAGCGTTTCTGATCACATTTTGTCTGGCGTCTGTCTGTCCGTCTGTCTAGCTGTCCCTCTGTCCGTCTGTCTGTCAACTTTTCATATTTTCAACTTCTTCTCAAGAACCGCTGGGCCAATTTCATCCAAACTTACCACAAAGCATCCTTTGGTAAAGACGATTCAAGTTTGTTCAAATGAAGGGCCAAGCCCATATTCAAGGAGAGATAATTGGGAATTAATGAAAATATAGTGACATGTTTAAAAAATCTTCTCAAGAACCACTGTGCCAGGAAATATGAGAGAAACATCCTCAGGTGGTGTAGATTCAAGTTTGTTCAAATCATGACCCCCGGGGGTAGGGCGGGGCCACAATGTCCGACCAAGGTTTTACATAGAAATATCTTGGAAAGTTCTTTAAAAATTTTCTTCTCAAAAATAACAAAGCCATAATTAATCATATTTATATGGAAGCATCCTCATGTAGTGAAGATGCAAGTTTGTTCAAATCATGACCCCCAGGGGTAGGGCGGGGCCACAATGGCCGACCAAATTTTTACATAGAAATATAGGAAAATTCTTTAAAAGTCTTCCTCTCAAGAATAACAAAGCCATAATAAATCATATTTTTATGGAAGTATCCTCAGGTAGTGAATATTTAAGTTTGTTCAAATCATGACCTCTGGGGGTATAGGGCGGGGCCACAATGGCCGACCAAAGTTTTACATAGAAATATGTAGGAAAATTCTTTTAAAGTCTTCTCAAGAATAACAATGCACTAATTGATCATATTTATATGGAAGCATCCTCAGGTAGTGAAGATTCATTATATTCAAATCATGACCCCCGGGGTAGGGCGGGCCACAATGGCCGACCAAAGTTTTACATAAAATATATAGGAAAATTCTTTAAAAATCTTCTTCTCAAGAATAACAAAGCCATAATTGGTCATATTTATGTGGAAGCATCCTCGGGTAGTGAAGATTCAAGTTTGTTCAAATCATGATCCCCAGGGTAGGGCGGGGCCACAATGGCCGACCAAAGTTTTACATAGAAATATATAGGAAAATTCTTTAAATGTCTTCTTCTGAAGAATTACAAAGCCATAACTGGTCATATTTATATAAAAGCATCCCCAGGTAGTGAAGATTCAAGTTTGTTCAAATCATGATCCCCAGGGGTAGGGCGGGGCCACAATGGCCGACCAAAGTTTTACATAGAAATATATAGGAAAATTCTTTAAAAGTCTTCTCAAGAATAACAAAGCACTAATTGATCATATTTATATGGAAGCATCCTCAGGTAGTGAAGATTCAGTTTGTTCAAATCATGACCCTCGGGGGTAGGGCGGGGCCTACTTATCGCAGATGTTTGAAATTTTAAGACAGTCTTCTCTGAGGCATGCCTTACATTGGAATTCATTTTTGTTCAAACCCGATGTCAACTTTCTGTTTGTTTGTGTGTTTGTCCATTTCATACATAACAAATTTCGTCACAGTTTTCTCATTAACTATTCATAGCAGATGCTTGAAATTTTAGTACACTCTTTGTTGAGGCAAGCCATATGGTGGGATTAATTTTGAAATGAATCTGATGTCAACTTAAAATTTTTCTGTGCATCTGCCTGTAATTGAACTTGTGTAAATTAACATGATAGTTATTTATTTCCATCAGAGCGGGGGTATTACTAGTGAGCATTGGTTCACAGATTAGATTTCTTGTTTTTTTCTTGTCGTGCTACCGAAAAAAGATCAGAAGGTAACCTATTACATGGTTCAACATTTACATAAAACCTTGATATTATAACAACTACATTGTTGATCACTGTTTTATGATAATTGTTTCGTCGACTAAACTGTTATCTATACTCTTTAATAGGAGACAGCTTGGGCCCACAGAGTGGTATGAAATTTACGACTAAAGATCAGGATAATGACATGTATAGTGGTAACTGTGCTATAAATAATCATGGAGGGTGGTGGTTCAAAAAATGTCACCCCGCAAATCTAAACGGACAGTACGCCCAGTCAGCTGTGTCTGCTTGGCCTTACATAATATGGTATAACTGGAAAGGAACCGAATCATTAAAGCAGACTGTGATGATGATAAGAAACAAAAACCAGAGCTAATGTATCATCAATCCTGAAATATATTAATGGATTTATACTTAACATAAACTGTTGCTGAGTTCTATATTTTTCCATCAATCAGAGGGTAACCATGATTTTGAACAAATGTTTCTCAATGAATCAAATCAAAGTTATTTAGATGAAATTAAGATATTGTTGGGTAGAAGCAGATACCCTATTGACATGATCATTAAGACATGTGGGGGCATGACCTCTTGGGCTGCATTTGTAACAAAATGAGCGCATAAATTATTTCTGATTGATATATTAATTTGTACAGTACATTTATCTATGTTTAAATATTGCGTCATGAATTATAATTGATTTATCAGTGTGTAGAGCGACGGACAACAATACTATCCTAATTACGAACTTGTGTACAAACTCTGGGAGATTCGATACAATATGAGTGATATGAGTGCGCCTTCATTTGACGGACAATTAGTTTTTACGATGTGTTTTCTCGAAAATTGACACTTTCCTGTCAGACTTTGTGCAGAGCTGCAGCAATCTAATTAATTGAAGAATGTGCAAGATACACAAATGTTAAAGTAAACAGTAGACATTGCCGTACCCCATAAGGAGATGTGAGAGACTTCAGCGAGGGGCGGACTATATAAATATTGATGAAATGACACTGCGACGTATTTATTGCTATTACCATATACGTGATCCCTATGGTGCAGCTTCTTGTACAAAAGTTGTGCGCACTAAGTATCAATAACTTTTAACATCTTAGTTCCCAGACTGACCGTGAGAGTTTTTCCCATCCTAGCTCCGAGAAACGAACTTTGTGATGCAATGACTATGTGAGCTTTCACCATCTTGGCTCCGAGATCTTTGTAATTGAACTTTTTATGTACAATTGCTTTTTGCCTTTGCTGTGACTTTATAATAAAACTTTTAACTTACAAAAGTCTTCTTACTCCAAACACATTGGCTAATTGTGTTATACATTTATGGCCAAGGCAATCGGATATCTGCACAGTATAAGCAATTTTTTATTTTATAAATGTGGGGAGGGGGCATACAAGCCTTTCAATGAACATTTTCAAAAGTAAATGCTCGGTTTGGAAAAAGTGGGGAGCAGCCCTGAGAGTATAAGCAATATATTATCATCTATATTTTGAGAGCATGAATATTGGATATTCGAGTACATTTTAATGAAATAAAAATTACATGGCAATATCAAATGGTTACTTTGATTTACCTTCACATTTCATTTATCTGGATAATTTGGATATTTGAAATGTCTTCATCTCATATTGATATATTACAAACCCTTTTTGAAAGGAATGTTTAGTCCTCTTTGGTACCTGATCCCATCTCTGATGTTTATAGTGTTCCCTGTTTGCTATGCTCCAGAGGGAAAGAAGATTATTCCAAATTATGTTATACGATATAACATAACATGAGGCAGTTTACACTTTATTAACCGCAAAGCAATTTATAAGGAAGCGTTTACTTCCCCAATTTATGTTATATCGTATAACAAAAGTTGAAATAAGCTTCATTCTTTATCATGCAATTTCAATGTAGACAATGAGACATTTCTTCCTCCTGTAAAAGGCTTCAAATTTAGAATATTTTAAATGTAACGTCAATCGGAGTAATACGTTTTTGACGTTACTCATTGTAACATACTAGTAGGCAAGTTATGTTATACAAAATGGATAAAATCTTTTACCCAATCAAATGACGTGTTACAAACAAAATTAAATTATATATATAGGTTTCAAATGACTTTTTAGATTGAGTACTGTTCATTATCCTAACATTTCATATATTAATCTTAAATCTGGAAACTCTCAAATAAATAATTAATTCATGGCTTCAAAATCTTATTTTTAAATTTATCATTTGCCTTCAATTATATGTGTTTTTGTTTGTTTGTTTGTTTGTTTGTTTTTTTTTTTTTTTTTTTTTTTTTGTTTCTTTTTTTGTTGAGATGTTTGGTTTAAAATCATGCCAATCATTAATAATTTTTTGAAAACATTTAATTATTTTATTTAGCACGTATTGGCAATACATGTACGAGGTTGTCCTAAAAGTTCGAAAATAATGCCGTTTTTTGTAGAAAAAAAGTGGTTTTATATAGATCTGCTGTATGTTAAAATATTTCTTATGAAAAAACAAGTCAGAATGTTTATTTTTTATTTAATCATTTATTTAACAAAATCGTATATGCCAAATTGCAGATTGATACACGAAATATATTTCAATAATATTGAGTTGTTTTAAGAAATTTTTTGTCTCTTACATCGTTTACACCGTATCAAAACTTATATTTTTATCGGACTCTGCCCTGTTTGGACGGCCAATGTCGCTTTCTCTGTTGAGTTTTGACACATTAAGCTTCATCTATAAAACTTAAATCATTCTGACTTGGATTGTATAAGAAATTATTTGATTTATAATAGATGCATATAGAACCATTTATTTTAACAAAAATGTTATTGTCCACGAACTTTTTACACAACCCTCGTACACAATAAAACTTATTCGAAAATAATGCAAGTATGACCAGAATTCAAGTTAAGAGTTTAAGATAGTTAGGATAGTTTCCATCCCGAAAATGATGTTCTTCCTGCAATGTCGCTACGAATAGCACCAACATTCCAGGACGCATGTGCCCTCACAAAGACGTCATCTCCTGCGTTGACTTGTATCACGACAATTCCTGTTCCTTCGAAGTCTGAATCACCTACAAGGTGTGTGTGAATTATTCCTACTTCATCTGTATTTACCATTAACTGTGTAGCGTGTCGCCTACCCCCATAAATTCTTATTGTCCAAGAAAAGACATAGATACCACTTTCAGGTACAATGAATATTCCTGTTGGGGAATGGTATCCGTTTCCAACGTTGGTTTTCACGACATCGAATCTCAAAGGATATTGAACAGATATTGACTGCGTATGTTGAGACATATAGGCATAAAATGCAACGATTTTTGATAAAGCTGGTGAGCCAGAGGTTGTTGTAATAGGGGAAAGCAATCTCTCTGAAAGAAAAATATCTAAAAGTGACAAAAAGAGAGTTAAAAATACAAATCCTTTACCATAGATTCCATTGAAGAATTTCCATATATTTCTGCCTAATCAGTGTCAAGAAATTTGAATGAATAGAAATTAAGAAACCAACTAATCAGTAGAAATTTACTGATCAGATATGAGAGAGATAAAGAGATCATTTATCTACAGTGGTTCATAATACCATTATCAAGAGTTATTTATCAATAATTTCTTCCGAACTGCAATTACATATACATCATTTTTCCCTGTTTCAGAGGTCAACAGTGATAATCCGGTAAATAAACCCACAAACACTACAAATAGTAAACTAGTTATAAACAAGAAACATATTGACGCAAGCGTCAAAAATCGGCCGCAAACCAATTTATATAACTGTTGAAATTATTTTAGAAACTGAAATTTGTTGGTTTTTTTTTTAATTTCTTATATTTATCTGTTAAAATATCCTCGTGACACGAAAAAAAAAATGCATGCGACAATGCCGATTTTCTTCATGCATAATGCATGTACAATTATTACATGTATAGGCATTATAAACTGTGCATAGTCCTCTGCGTCTCTGCACTCAGTTTGGTACAACTTGACGAACTCTGGTGAGTTTGCTGTTTAAGTAGTTTTTACATAAAACGTACAAAACTAAAGTTTAAACTTAGCTATAGTTTTACCTTAATAAAAACGCAACAAATATATAATATGTGGGACTCCTCGCTCTCTCTAAGAGGATGTTACCCCCCCCCCCCCAACGCCTTCTAGATCCACCACTACATTTCTTCTCGTTCAATTGAGATGTGGCGGTAAAATGTTTGGCACATTGTAAAACGCGCTCTATCCTAGTCTCCTGGACTAACATGTCGTAATATTCTTTGCTTTTAAGAAATCAATATTTCATCATATTTTTTAAAAACATCCATAGGAATTTTTTAAATATACACTTCATTTCAAATAAATACAGCAGATCCTGTTTTAAAAAGAGAAAGTAAAATTGTTGATTTACAACGCGGTCTTTGTTTTTGACTATGCCTAACACTCGTACTAATTTTCTCCGCACTTCAGTTATATCAGAGTTTGTCAATCAGGATTGGATGAAATATTTACCCCATTATTTATAAAATTTAATTTTACGATTATTGTGCTTTTTCTAAACATTTAGACAATCTTTGTTTAATATTGATAATGTTGAATATTTTTATTTAAATTGTTAACTCCGCAGAAACGCACAGCGACTTAAAACTTTCATATCATATAACCGACCGCCTCCTGGCGGCCGGTAATTAAAACCCCGACCCCAAAGTATTGTAGTAACGGGTTCAGGTGAATAAGAGGTGAAAAGCATTCTCTGTTAACTGGACTCCCTGCTTTTAATATCTACCTTACCGGAAAAAAATATGTTCCTTGGTAAGATTTAGAAATTGTATGAAATCAAAGGAATATCAGTTGGTATGAAACTTGTCAGCTAAATGATTATATAGGGAGAAAATAACATTTTTCTGTTTTAGAGATGGCAATTCTTCCTAGGCACCTGACCCTACCTCGTAAAGCCTTTGTCTTATGCCCTGTTCAAGATTTGTATTGGCTGTAATTTGTAAAGCTCGATCTCCGATCTTAATCTTCACCTTTTTTCATTGGATTAACAAATCATTACCGTTAATAAAGAATATGCAAGAAGTACAATGCCAAATACGTTCAATAATTATCTCGGTATCAGTAAAAGTAAAGATTAAATGTAAAGTTGATATTGCCTTACTTTTATTGATGGTTCCTTCGGAATATGTATTTCTGTCTTCGTTATCTTTGATGTGGCCATTTCTCATTTCGTGCATTCTAGTGTCATCTATTTCCGATAAAGTAAATCCTTTTATTCCTTTGCCTTCAGAAAACTTTTCTTCATTTTCATACTTTTGCATAGGATGTTCCTCTTCAGAAATCTGTCTTTTAAATCAAAAATGACTTTATCTTGCTCCTCAACCCTTGCTTCAAGTCTTTAAAAACGTTGATTATCTTTTGTTTGTCTAGAAATCATCTTTGATAGTTCACGGACAGTCGTCTCTAAGTTCAGAATTCGATCTTCATAATTTTTAATTTCTGAATTTTCCTGACTTGTTGAAGGAAATTTATTCTCCTGAATATTAGGAAAATTTTTGGCTTTCTTGGGTGTACTTGAGGAAACGTCATTTGTTCTGTCTAAATTGACTGAAATAAACTGTTCTTTTCCAATATATTTCTCCAGCTGACCGACTCTTTTATCCAACAAGCGAATTTCATCGGAATTAAATGAACTGGAATCCTGAGCAAAACAGCTTTGGAAATGGACAAGAAGACTGAGAAGGCCAAAAACCCACGTGCACATTGTCATGTCTTCTACGTGATTGATAAGAAATGCATAACCTCCTATATTTTAATGCTAACTCTTATCTGTTTTGTCTCAGTTATATAACACTTACATTTACGACATATCTAACAGACAATGACATAAAGATATTGCTCTCCTTCAGATATACCACTAAAAAGGATCACGATGCTAGCCCTTTGTTAATCTCTTTGTGCACTGTTAAGGAGTAAGTAAGTTAGTAAAAATATATTTACCTTTAATTTATTTCTTCTAAAAGGGCACGACAAAAAGAAATTTCTAAATGTTAATTGAACAATTATAGAACTAATATTAATTTTTTGGATAAGAATAAGAATCCTTTTGTTAAGTTATTTTTTAATGCTGATTCAAAAACTTTTTATGATAACATCAAACCATATCGCTATGATTCCAGCTAGTTGGTCATAGATCAAAAGGTGCCAATCATATTATAAATATATACAATCAAACATTTTTTTTATGTGTCATTAAGTGAAAATACTGACTTATTTCGTTAGCATTTTAATTGATGAGCAACAATTGTTTAAAACTGTTCTTTTATATTTGACATATTTGAAACCATTACAAATGCATTTTGCGTTTTATCCATCGTCGCAAACCACGGTCAAAACGTACGATCCTCTCCCATTCTGGCCGTGGTTGAACGAGGAGAGAATTCTTCGTAGCTCATTAAAAAATTGACCAATGCGAGTAAAGCATAGTCGGATGATGAACTTTATCGCGACCTTTCAATGTCCAATCGCAGTATAGGAAATGTTTTTTGTATACTGTTGACGTCAGTTGTTGATTTCAAATGCGATGGAAACAAAACTTTCCACTGACTGAATATGACGTCAAAATAGAGAGGCGTAAATACTCAAGATTACAACACTTTTTTGTGATCAAGCAGCCACGGGTAGGAGAGAGCTATGCGGACTCTGGACCTTAGCTTGAGACGATGCGTTTTATCGTAATAATTTATGAGCATGTCAGTAGTCTTATTATGACGTGACTTCAGAAAACGTTTATCTGTGTGTTTTGTTTTGAAAATGGCATTCAAATTAATTTCATACTCGGCTTATTAAAAGAACCATCAAAAGTAAAATGTTCAGTTACTTTCAGTTTGACAGTAATTTTCTTGTTTGTCAAGGTTTAAAAAAAGGTTAATAACATACAGCCGTAGATGATCGCATTGTTTAATGATATCTTTATCATTTGTACTACGAGGTCTGTTCAAAACTCTGATATAATTATTATTTCTAATAGACATTAAAAAAAAAAACTACTGAAGAGAAACAATCTCGTATAGATCATTCTGAAAGACACCCAAAATCGGGGACCAAATACTGGTCTTACCCTATCTTGTACTTTCTTTGCTTTCTTGTCATGAACTATACTACAAATATCTTGATGGTTCTTAAATTTGTAAACAATCAGGTTTGGGTGCTTTTTTAAATAAAACATTTTCCCTATGATTTGTAATATCATGTATTGGATAGAATCATAAGAAACACGCGTCCTTATTACCTTTTAGCTACCTTATCTTTTAAACTTTTTTAAGAACTTTTAAAATCAAAGTTTGAATAATTTAATTGAAGTGAATGTTTAACTGTTATATACTTTTTGAAAAAAATCTTAAATTCATAACATATTAGTCCTACAAACATATCCCAAAAAAGTATAGCAAATATGAAAACCCGATGGTTTAGTTATCAAGATGATTAGATAATGTGTTCACGTAACTTAAATAAATCACAGGAAGGAGTATAGACAAAGCAATTATAAAAGACAGCTTATATCTATTAAGATTGGGAAAAACCTTCTGAGGCTATATAAGGACGATAAAGTTCAAAAGAGAAGGAAGCTAACATTAAGGATAGTAGATTAAACAAGGAAAATGTATCTACACTGAAATTTCTGTCGTATATTTGGCTAAAAATTGTGGCAAAAAAAATTAATATACATATACATGTATATTTGAAATGGCGGCCCGTATCAAATCTATAGGAAGACTACTTTCACAGCCAATATTTCCAGAAACGATCGTAGGAACTGGCCATCGTGAAGGACAAGTTACATCTACATTGTTCTTATCTCACGTGATTGCGGGTATCCTTGTTATTTATGGAGTTTTATTTGCCGGCGAGTCTATGAGTGAGACGTTCGCTGTGGGTAAATGGACAGTGTTTACTGTATGTGTCATCTTTGGCTTGCTGTCCATAGTGATTTTGCTGATTTCTAGTTTCCATGGAAACAAGAATGTTCCTAGCTTGAGAAGTACAAATGACAATCCTTCTATAAATTTACAGCTACTGTTCCTGTGGATATTTGGATTGGGCAACGTGATCTTTTTAGGCGTAAACATAGCTGTTTATGCGGATTGCCTGATGAAAACGACCGAAGATTTATCTAGTAATTTATTTTTGATATCTGCTAATTTACTTTACATGCTATTTATACTGTTACAAATACTTCTTCTTACATACCACAAAGCAACACGAATGCCATCAACAATATACTTTCATTTTTCGATTGTCTGTATCCTAGCCGCAAACTTCTCAATATGGTATAGCTCAACTATTTATACTTTGTTTAAACATGGGAACAGAACAGAGATTCGGCACAACTCCTCGTGCTTCCAAAATTCTGATATAGAGAAAAAATTGAGAAGAAAGATATCTGACGTTTTCCTGCCACCACAGTTAGAATTCTGTATTCTTGCAGCGACGCTTCTCGTATCCTTGTGGCAAAATGGGATAAAGTTCCAAGAAGTTCGATACACTGAGCTTACTGACGTTGTTTCTGAGAGCAGATTTAGAGCTGTTTTTAAAAGACCTGATGGCGCCTACATAGTTGCTGTTATTATTGGAATTTCTCTCAATATTCCTATATTTACCTCAACAGTTCTGTTAGATTTTGTATATGAGTGGGAAAATGAGAATGTAATAATTTTCTTAGACTTCAGTGAAATTCTATGTGCATTCAGTACATGTGCCGTCGTGTACATGTGTTGGCACAGAATCAAAGGCCATTTTCGGTATTCCATAAAACCTATTACTATACAAGAATTCATTCTAATTATAAGTTCTATGGGAATAATGGCATATTTTACGATGGGATTTCTTGCAGGAATTTCTGGCTCCACCCTCTCAAGGTCCACCATTGCCAGTCGTGTGTTTGGAATGATGGAAACATTTCTTCAAACATTACTTCTGATTCATTCCTCAAGATGTACCGTTTCAGGGAGCAGATCAAAATTGATCTCCGTATTTGCACTAATTCTTGTCATCACGAATCTATCTTACTGGTTTCAAAATTCTTACAATAGGAATATAATAACAAACTCTCGATACATCGGATATTCTGATTGGTTCTTTGTAGAGATAACTCTGGTGCCTCTGATGATATTCTATAGGTTTTTCTCAGCAATGAATGCATATACTTTGTACAAAAGATTCAAGTATTTAGACTAATTTTAAAAAACTGCATGGCTGTTTCTGGAACTATGATACCCATATGTGAATATTTTGGCATTGTTATTAAGACACATTATTCCTAATTTTAGAATTATGTTATTTCAACATTGATCTCACAAAAGTTAACCAAAAATAATTATATTATAGTACTCTTACTGAGATGGAGGATTAATTACATCTACGACAGGATTTTAAAATATTTGGTTAGCATATTTTTCTCTCAAAAGAATAAACCAGATATCATTAACTTTATTTATTGATAAATAAGTAATGTTTTTGTAAGTAATGGTATGTCTAGTTTGGCAATTAATGACATATCAAGCTAAAATTTCAGCATTTCTTTACTTTTTGTTGTTTTATGTTCCTTGGAAATTTTGATAACACGGGTTACACAGTACTTATTTTATAGCCTCAGTCCACGAACTTTTGGATAGCCCCTCGTATTTAAAAAACAGACGTTTTTTCAATATCATTACCCATCAAAACTAACTCAAAAATATGTTTGCATTTATTTATAATGATTTTTTTTTTCAAATTAAAAGACGGATACTTGTAGAAGGAATGAACTTAGAAGCTGTAATCTTTAGTTTCAATACAGGAAAACCTTAGCAAAAGCGTAACTGAGTTGACGTTCTATTAACTTGTAAAAAGAGAACAAAAATATGTTTTTCATTTCGTTGTCTTGTAAAGGTCTATGCAGAGAAGTTTTGTGTGAAATAGGAATGTACATACATAATGCTTCCGTTCTGTATAACGTTATGAGATAGCTTTATATTAGCATTCATTATCATGGAAGACAATGTATTTTTATATTGAGATAAAAATATGAAAAAAAAATGTAATCTGGAGGAAGAAGGAAGTATGTTAATTACTTACTTTTTGAAGTACATTCTGTCAGAAAATACATGTATATGGCGGTCTTCTCAAAACACATAGATAATGCAGATTAATTAACAAAAAAAAAAGATATTTAAAAAGCAGGTAATCAGAACGTAAAGTTTAAAGATAAACTAAGTCATTTCTAAAGATTCAAAAAGAGAGAGAGTGTCCCTTGTCATAATAAAAGAAAACAGTAGAATTTATCCATCAAATGATAGTGTTGAAGAAAGGGATAAAATATAAGAAATTAAAAGGCCTTGTCACATGGAACAATTATACTCACGTCAATGATACAAAGTAACCAACTGAAAGATGTTAGTTGGTGACAGAACACTAAATTTTGTTTAATTAGCAGAATTTCTTGCAGTATAAGCGCCTAATAAATCCATTCTAAGAGTACATGGTGTTTTATTTAATAAAATAAAAATGTGATTTTATTTTGGATATTTTTGGCACCCCTATACATGAATAGTTCAGAGGGAAGATGTATTCTGTATGTAACAGCTGTCGTGTTTTTGGTTGTTTTTATTTGTTTTCTTCTTTTTTTTTTTTGACTCAGAAATTTTTAAATATCAATTTGCCTATGTCATATATATTTCAAATATCTGGAACACAAACTTAAGGTAGATTTATTTGTATTTAGGATACTTTTCCTAAAGCTGACAATAATATATTTTCTCC